CTGGGTAGTGGTAGTAGAATGTACATGTACAGTACATACATGTACATGCATCTCCATTAGACTAAATGTGTTGAGAAGTGCACTTTCTAAACCAGTTTAAATTATCCATGCTGTCCTGGACAACTGAGGGCACTGTTGCTGTGATGTCATCCAGGGAAAACATGGCTTGGTGTATAGGTTTTCTGCTCAAATTGAGAACCCAGAAACCACTTGGGGAAAATATTTAATAGAAATGGTTAGTTGCTTGCTTATTTCTTTGCCCCTACACAGCAATGAATTACTAAGAAGAGAACATTTGGATTGGCAAAATCTACAAAAGCAAGAGGTGATGTCATCCCAGAATATTCACTTTCATTCTTAGATGACATCACAGTTTTGCTCATGAATATGGAAATACTCAGCTTAAAAACAAAAAAATGCAGCAAAAGCACCCTTTGAAATAGTACAACAAAAATTAAAAATAAGGTTAACTGAGATACATACGTGTATTTTGGGGTTTGTTTCAAAACCTCCATTAAAGCTACTCTTTAAAAAGTCTTATGTATTCCGTATATTCCCAGGAGAAATGATGTAAAGTATGAATACCATCCAGATCTTTTGAGAAGACAGGCAGGGATAGGCAGATATTTGTATTTACCTGTACATGCAGACAAAGTGCAAACCAGCTTCAAATTAAGTGCTGTATGTGAGAATTTTTAGGCCATGACTGGTACATTTACTTCCGAGACTGCTCGCACCTGCCCCTATGTGTACATGTATCTTGTTTGCTTGCAATGCCAACTACATGCACATGTAGTATTGGATTGTCTACTTATTGTGCACATTGGAAACCTCTGTTGGTTGTGTTTTATTCTTCTTCAGGGGTGAAATTTAAACTTAATTTCCCTCCCCCCCTTACTCATGGGAGGGGTTGGATTTTCTTGTATTGGCTATTCATCGGCCATTGTGTGCTGCAATTCGATTTCAGAGCCGGCTGAATTTATTTTGCCCTTTTTTGTCCATGCTGGGAGTGTAATTTCATCCATGGCCTCGGTTCACCAGCCTGTTGTTGTTTGCTTGATTGCGCCGTCTGCCTTGGCCGAGGTTTACTGGCACATAGAAAGGTTGTGCTGACAATCAGACTGGCTTTTTGTTCACCGTTATCTCCCCCCCCCAAAGTGCACTGTACTGGAATGTTTGGCTGGCCATATGCATCATTGTCAATGTGATTATTGTACAATCTCACCAAGTGGAATGTTCCTTTTATCATGTTATGAATTACCATGGAACTCACAAACATGTTGAGGCATAGTGGCTGCATACATATGCCTACATTTACACAGTTAGTTGGAAACACCTGTTTTCCCGCCTTCAATCTGCTTGCCACATGCCTACACACCTGTACATTTAGTAAGTATAGAATTTGTTCTGCTGTTTCATTTCAAACCAGTAATTATTTGTATGGTACTGTACATACATGTACATGTACATGCAGGGACTCCTCTGGAATACAATTCAATCTTCAAGCCCCATGACTTCAATGATATGGAAGCTAGGCAAGAGAAAGCTAAAAGGTATATGTACTTGTAGTTAATGCCAAGCACTGCAAAGTGACGCAAAAAGGATAACGCCAACAGTACTAATTGATAGTTGATATACATTGAAGCTACTACTAACTTGAACAAGCTGTATTCATGCAAATATTGACTGCTTCAAGTGGCATGGTGAAACTTACATGTGTACCCCTCAAGGTGATCCATTGTGCGTTCCTGTTTTCCCAAGGCAAAGACCAAGGAAGGCTCCCTGAAGGAAGCCTGTATTTGCTTTACCGATAGTTGTAGAGAGGCATGTTGTTCATCAATTAATACACACACTCGTCCATATTAACGCACCTCTTCTTCCAAGTCACTTAAACACTTCCAGGCCTGCCCTTGATGAACATTTCCACCCATTCCATTTCCTAACATTGTAATACAATGTAATACTTTCCAGAACATACAAACCATTGGATTGTCTGTTTACTTTTCATAGTATGGCAAAAATACTAAAACTGCTGAATATTGTGTGTTCTTGGCCGATGAAGAGACAGAATCTTTGCCTGGCGTGTTATGGTTTATCAGCTTTCCGTTAACACCTCATGTGCGTTTTTACATTTTTACTGTCATGGATGGTTGCATGGAACTTGGTATGTATTTCAAAGCAGTAGCTGAAACTGTAGATTGTCACTGTTACAGCCATGACCATATAGTCGCCAGGTCCTTTATGTCACCACTTACTGTGAAAACCAATCAGACTTGACAGTAGGTGGCGAAATACAGACCTGGTGACTATATTGTCACAGAAAGACTGTGTGTTAGTGTTAGATACAGAAGGGGAAGATGCTTGTTAGGATTTTGGTAAATGAATCATCAAATAATGTAATTTTGTTATATGAAAAATGAATGACCCAAAAATCTGACCATGATAGATTATTTTTTCTGAACAAATGTTTTCACATACATATGTCGTAAGCAACTTGTTTCACCAAGGACTCAGCTCAGCCACATGTACCAGTACATTGTGTAAAGTTTTAAGCTTTTGTTTTGAAACAGTATAAGTTTCTCTCAACCGTCCAAGAGGGCAGTCAAATGCGTCAGATGCTCGGTGTTTTGAGTGTACTTATTTTGTCATGGGCTCTTGCTAGAATCCTTTCTTTATCCTTTACAGAGTGAAGTAAGTCTATTTGGCCAGTATTTTGAATTCCTTCTGGGTATAAGCTCTTTTGTGTTGGGATTTCATCAGTACAAACAGTGTGGAAATGAATGTAGTGACACCATTTGCCTGCGCACCCAGAGAACGTGTACGCTGAGACACCTTCATGTTCATTTCCATCACAGTGCACCTGAATAGCCCCCTCTATTGACAGACATGTGTGATTGTACACACAGACATCTTACCAGACATAGTGGGGGAGACACTATAGTTGATAAGTTTTCGTCTCTGATTATCAGATTAAAAGCATCAATTTAAACATAGTCTCAAGTGCAACCCAATTTATGTATCCAGGGAAGAAATGGTAAATACCGATATGCACCCAACTCGACATTTACGGTATCATCAGTACTGCCCTTTTGAAATTTGTTCACTCAGGCATATAACGCCATCCACTTCAAGAAGAGTATGTCCCCCGCACATTCAGAGTACATTTGTCAACATTTGAGGTTGATAGACTCAACTTGTTGCCTAGTAACTACCAGTAGCTAACTTTGTCAACACCAGTTACAGTTACATGCATTGTAATTTGGTGTGCTGACAGATTGGTCATTACCAGACAAGTGAGTCTCCCCTTGGGACTTGGGGCAGTAGTGGAATCCCTTGTGATACCCTGAGACTAGTGTGACTGATGGTTTGTGAAGTGAACTGGGGAGTCTGGTTGGTGTAGTGGCGCTTTCCTCGCCTTCCACTTCCGTGCCCCAGGTTCGAATCCCACCTACATTTAGGTCAGCTTGTGGATTGGGTTTTCAGTCCCTGCCTGATTTGGTGGATTTTCCTCCCGCCTCTAAAACTGAACATTTCTTCATTGTCTTCTTAACTGTCACTCAATAATTCATCCTGTAATCGGTGCTAAATTTGCTGTTACATATAGATGAACATATAAATAAATATATAAATAAGCCAATGTATTGATTTCAAAATAGAATCACTCTGCTGTTTCAATCCAGTTATAACCTCCATGCCGATGATGCATGTGAAGACAGTTGGTACTGTAACTAATGGAATGCTCAAGACATGGCAACAATGTCGAACTGTCGGTGAAGCACGGCCAACATTGCAACTTAATTGTTCTCTTTACTTTGTGCTGTGTCATACACAAACCCGTACACCAAGGAGGAAGATACCCAGAGCTCAGAAATCATCAGCGGTTTTTCCCTCTCTGTTTGTCTTCTTAAGGGGAGAGGGTCCGTTCACAGTTTGCAAGAATTTTTGGAACAGGATATTTTGACCCTGTTGGTATTGCTCTACCTTTGGAATTTACTCAAAAGAGTTGTTAAAAATGAAAAAAAAAAAGGACAAGTGAGATGTTTGTCCGTGATACGCTTGATTGCAAATTTAACACCGTGAGAAATGGATCAGAGTGATTTTAGCCTTGCGAGTGTTTTTTAGACTTACTTGTACATGTATTCTTGACTTCATGCACATGCACATGTCTGTCTGCACACTGGCATATTTCCTGGTTTGAGGATAAGCAATTACATGTAATGTTTCTGTATGGGGACCATGTGATAAGTGTTCCATTTTTAAGGCAAAAGTGATAAATCTTTTCAGACTTAAAGGGTTACATGCATCCTTTTCCTGCACAAATAATTGGCTTGCATTTCAAGGAAGCTTGAATCAGACTGGAAGGTGGTGGGAATGAAATTATTCAGACTTGATCTGGGTGAGGGTTGTATTACTTGCATTTTACTCTTGGGAGACGATTAGCCACTGAATCAGAAATTCATGCAGTTACCGGGTATGCCCGAGAATACTGTAAGTTAAACAGATCTATAGGCCTATGTATTGTACTGGTATTTCCAAAGTACACGTAGAAACACTGACACACATCATTGTAAGGTCAAAAAATAATAGGTCCTAACAAATAAAAGTACATGTCAAGTTTTGCTGAATGTGTTTTGGTCATACCTTCTTCCTGGGTGTTAGCCATATTGTCCAAACGACAAACAGTATCAGTAATTTCAATTTAGATCCCTAACATGTCTAATGTACCAGGTTTTTTACATACCAGTAGCGTGCAGATTTATTCAAGGCCATATTGAAGAAATACAACATAGCCTACATGAAACTGTACATGTACAGTACATAATACTTGCAGACCACCATTTCCAAAAGTTTCAATGGAATCCTTGCCTGACCTGAGATGACCCAGGTTCCCTGACCTCTTATTGGGTCATCTGTTTACATGTAGCTTTCACAAAACCAGACCCAGCCAATCCATCAAATCACTGATCCGTCATGTTGTTGTGTTTCTTTTTTGGGGGGGGGGCAGAGAATACCAAGAAGGCCTGGGCACTAAGCAATGAAAATACCAGGTGGCCCACTCAGTAATCTCTCATCTTACTGGCCAACATGGTTCCTGGAGGATTTTTTTTTGTCTGGTAGCCTGTGGGTATTCCATTGTTGTAGTGGATGGAAGTGTAAAGTTGGTGCAGCTGTTAAACTGTTGGTGATTTAAGGGGGACTGGCATACCCACTATACCTGGCCATCTAGGGGAGTTTTACAACCAAATTTGCTCTTCCAGACTAAAGGTAGCAGCTTCAAAACCGGACTTTGTCCTCAGCGGATCACATAAATTACATTGCCTTATCACCTTCAAGTGTGATCCTGACAACCGTTTTCCAAGCCAGTTGATAAGCTTAACCCTCAGTAAGTGGTTCCTCTTCAATTGCAAAATGACTCCAAAGTGATGCGTGCTACCCGCTCCGACTTGTGAGTATGTGTCTGGCAACTCATTCAGTGGAGCTTGTGGAGTCTTTCTCTTGGAATACTGACGGGCGGCTTGGCCTGGAGTTTTGGATATGCAGGGCCAGTGACACTAACCAAAGGAATTGTGTAGGAGCCATGCTGAAGTTTGTCATCAGTAAGCCTAAAGGATTAGGTCAGTGATACTTTGCAATTGAAACAATGTACTGTATACATGTACTTGTATGATTTCACATCAGTATACATGTATATTAGAGACGTGTTTAGAGCAAAGCCTCAGTGATTTTTACTGTACTTGACACATATAGGATTTGAAGTTAACTTACTAAATAGAGCAATAATGGACAAACACCAGGTTCTAGCCATGTTGATGTTTTGTTAAGTTTTCGTCATGTTTTGAAGACAATTTAAAATAAACCATTGCCCCCACATGTACTTTACATGAATGTGAGTTGTTGTGGCCTGTTTGTGAGCTGTGATGAGCTATGAAGATTCCCTGTCCAAGTCATCACAATATGAACTCTCGACAGTTCTGTCTGAATCGTGATCAGTTTGTAATTTGGCACTACTTGATGGGACTGGTTAGCAGTTTGGGAAATATAGAGGAGGTCAGGTTACCACTCGTTAATTAGTGGTTGCTGAGTGATCATGTATGAGCACTGTCTAGTATTTGTAACACATCCCCCCCCCATCCTGATTGAGGTTTACCCATGGATACATGTACATTAAAATGCATGGAGATGAATCACAGCAAGCATGCAGCTTTTTCTTCAATCACATGTGTTCCTCATTTTTTATATTTTTTTTATCTCGCATATACGCCTAGGTTACAAATTGAAAACCATTCCACAAAGTCTTTTTCTTTTTCCTAACCGGTAGTTTCGTGCTCGAAACTCCTTCCAATATTCTCATGTGTAACACGACAGTAATACAGATTTGGTATTTGATGGTACTGGAAGATGCAATTTTAAATCAAGAAATACACGGATGTTCTTGGCCGGTCCAAGACCAGGGCCAGTTTCAGAGGGCTGCTTATAAAATAAGCAAAAAATTTGTTTAAACGTGAAAAAACCTTGCTTGACAAATCAGTTTACCAGCCAAAACTTCTTGTGATGCATATTGTTTTGGAATGGTATTTACCTGTCTTTTGGTTAGTATGACAATCACATAACGGTAGAGGTTGAGCTGGTAACCTTTGTTTATTAAGCAGGGTTTTTTCGTGCTTAAGCAAATTTCCTTGCTTAAGCAGCTCTGTGAATTTGGCCCAGCTGGTCTTAAACGAATGCTTAAGACCGATCAACCACAAACTTATTCATGTTACTTTTGAGTCAGAAAGTCAAGAGAAGTTTTTAAAAATTACAAATTTCCAACAATTTTACTTCAGTTTTTCAAGTACCCCTTGACCATTTTAAAGTATGGTACATAACATACATGTACCACATATACATGTACATGTAACTCTCAGAAGTAGTTGTAAATAATTCCTTATATGGAGATTTGCATGTGGCGCATACTTCTTGAAAGGGATCATAATGCAATGACCCAGTGTAGTGTGAATTTGGGACTCTCAAAATGTTGACTCATTGGTAGTATTATGCAAGCACAAGTGAGGATTGCGAACATTCAACTAATAAAACGGAAAAGGGATGAGATCTCATAGGAGTCTAAATTTCATGTGACATCAGAAAAGTGATTTATCAGCCAGCCATTGCTTTATCAACTGTTTATTAAGACCAGCCAGTCATGTGACAGGCTCTTGACCAGTTAGAAATGACTAAACTGTCTTAGGTATGAATAAATACATGTACATGTAGGCTTTAGTTTTGATAATTACATGCACAGCATTTCGGGTCTGTTTTTAGGTGAGGCCAAAAAAAACTTATAGTTGTGTTTCCTATTACACTGAAAATAAATTAGGGTGGTTGGTTGGGTAAACTTTTTTTTTTACTCTAAACTTATATAGCCCAAAAAGTTGGGTCGGATTATGGTCTTTATTTTTTTTTTGGGGGGGAGCAGTATATTTGTAACAGGTACTAAGTCAGTGTTGGATTCATACTGTACATGTGCACGTCAATATTACATATCAGCACTGTGATTGAGTAGTAAAGCAGCTGGTTGTTGAAATACAATCACAAAAGAGCCGTCCATCTCATGCAAAAAATTAAAACAATACAATGTACAGGATGATGTACACAAAGTTAGGCTCAGGGCAAGGCACCATACATGTAAGTTTTTATATTTTATTGATTTGTCGAATAAAAAGATATAAGTTCCGCTTGATTTTCTTGGTTGCATCGGGTAATCGGAAACACAGCTATTTTTTTGTTTGGCCTGATCTGAAAGCATTAAGGACAGAAAAATTAGGTTTTAAACAAAAATAGATACATGTACGTTGTATATGAAAAAATCTGAAGTATTTTTGAGTGTATGTAATGGCAACGGATATCTGTCCACAAGCACATTAAACAGGCTGACCTGCCAATGTGTAAAGGTTTTTTGTTTATGAGCATCAGTCCACAGCAAATATTAGCGTTAAGGCCATAATTTCTACTCAGCACTGAAGGAAACTAGGTCGAGTTCAGATGCCCTTTTGTATATAACGGTGTGGTTAGCTGTCAGATTGCTCCCTAAAAAAATTTGTCGCAGAAGAAATTCTGGTTTTATGCATTATTTCCTTCCAGACAGTTTGACCGTAAACTCATCCTATCCACTTTTGTACTTAAAAACATACTTGTGCTGGGATAAATCACTGGCCAAAAGATTGGCCTAGATTTGTTTATGTTTATCCGTCAACTTGTATCAGTTTTTTGAGGGTCCTCTTCATCCTAAAAGTCGCTGTTTTTGTTCAGGGTATATTTTTCCTGGAGACTGATCAATCCACATGATTTGTTTTGAAAGTGATTCGGAAGTTGAAGAAGTTCTTTCAACAGTGGTGATGATATAAACAAAGAATTACTTGTGCAAACCGTTTGACCTCGAGGGTAAGTTTAGAGGGAGTTTTGTAGAAAGTGTTTTGGCAGCAATTGGCAAAATGAGATTCTGTATCATTGATGATTTCTTTTCCATGTTTTTTAATCTTGCTCCAGACTCCTTGCAAGTGGTCAGGAAATTAAGGCTTGAGAATGGGTCGCAGGCAATGCCCAAGTCACCCTCTCAAGAGTCAAAAAGTACAGCTACAAGCTCAGGGGCATCGTCCTCAGCGACAAGTCCAGCCCCCCTCATAGAAACCGAGGAGGTCACCGAGGTGACGATGACCAAAATGAGGAAGAAGCTGGCTCCTTCAAGGACTGCCAGCGAGTCTCCATTTGACAAGCTCACTGACAAAGTCATCACCAACATATTCTCCTACCTGACGGCCAAGCGCCTGTGTCGCTGCTCACAGGTTTGCAAACGTTGGCAGCGGCTTGCCTGGCAGCCCTGCCTATGGACGTCCATCGTGCTGTCCAAGCGACAGAAGCATGTCGATTACGCCCTGAAGTGTCTGGTACGGCGTCTGTGCCTGGAGACCCCCTACGTGTGCCTGACAGTGGAAAGGATTGTGCTGAATGGTTGTGACCAGCTGACTGACCGCGGGCTGAGTTTGATTGCTAGACACTGTCCAGAACTGCAGCATATTGAATTGGGAGGGTGCAATAACATTACCAACGAGGGAATCTTCGAATTGGTCTCGCGATGCCCAAGCATAGACTTTATGGATTTGATGGGTAAGGTGGATTTGGTGGGAAAGATAGATGAGTCTTTCCACAAAGATGGCACATTTTGTGACAGTGGGACACATTTGGGGATAGGTGTTTGGAGTTCCTCAGAGTAACTGCACCATTATTATAAATTTGCCCGCTGCTCTACATTGTTTTAGAACATTCAAAAGTTATTCAGCTTGATATATATTTACCTAAAATCGAAAGCTACCAATGGACACCGAACTTTTTAAGGTGTGACATTTGGGGTCAGTTTACAGATTTCATTGAATGTCGCAAAGACTTCACATCATATTTCCGCAAAACTAGTTAAAAATTGTGTGTTGCATTGTCAGTTTGACCTAAGTCAAAATTTTACACCAAAGTGATAAAAATGGTTTGATATCCTTGTTACCATACTGGGTACCATGCCCCAAAATTTGAAATGCTCTAAAACACTGGAAATGTTACAATCAGTCATTAAAAATAACTTTTGATTTACATGTCCGAAGGACTGCTTACATCCCCTTCACAAATTTGTCCAATTGCCACATACTTTGCGTACTCAACTTTGTTGAATGACCCAAAGACGGTAATTTGCTAATTGAATGCTTTTTTACATCCATTTGTTTGTCGCTAATTGGACACTCACTGACGCCTTGAGAGACTATACCAGTGTATTTGCATGCACATGGATAGTGCTTCAAGAGCTACGTGTACGTGTATGTTAACGTTTTTATTGCACCAAACAGTATCATTTTCAAGAATGTAATTTGACCTTTTGCACAACAGCGGAAACTGATCAAAACCACCAGAGTAGTAATCTTTTTTTCTTAGTCAGTACTTCATGCTTGTATCGTCTTTTATGGCGGGTAGGTACTGTACCTCTATGTGGAACCTCCATGTATGTGCCAGGTTTTTTTTTAATCCTTTAAATTGATTTTTAGAAAAATGTCAGATTAGCTGTTTAAATGGCAATGCCTCTAGAGTGCCATTATCTACTGGTGTCTCGTAGAATAAAACAAAACAAATAGAACAAAAGAGATGTCAAGTTGAAAAAAGAGCTCAAGACACATACAAATACGTAGGCTGCACATACATGTACGTATATGTCAAGGTGTGCTAATGTGCTTGTATGTTTGTCTTCTTTCAACACAAAGAAGATATTTTTAGCCTTGCCCCAATTTATGGAGCAGTTTGTAAACAAACGTACCCATTACATGACTTTAAATCGTTATCACAGACTCCCGCAGCCTGAGAGAAATTCATATTGAAGTTTCGTTCGAGGATAGAGGTCATATAGAACCAGTGTATGCCATTGACTTGTAACCCTGATGGAGTCATTCTAGCCGCCAAAATTTTAGGGAGGGTTTTGAGGGTGCTAATTCAAATTTTGAAACAAATTTCTCTACCCTTGACACAGTATTTCTATTTTACTGATTCCAGGGTTTTATGAAGGTTAACCCTAACAGTCGACTAGTCCTCAGTCTTCCCAACAGGTGAAGACTTTAGGACTATTAGGATAAATCATTAAATGGCAGTCAAGACAATGAACTTGGTGTTCCTATGAATAAGTGGATAAACAGTTATTGATAAAAATATTCATTTAGTACTCATGATATGACAAATATACATAGTTTGGCCTTGTAAAAGGACACAAAAATAAAAAATGGAACATTCTCAGGGACGCTAGACCTGAAATTCTCAGTTTAGGTTCCAGAAGTCAAATAGATTGAAGGGGTAGAGAAACTTGAAAATTTAAGTTGGAAAAAAAAGAAAGAAAAGAACAAGCTGACTGATGTGTACATTTACACCTTACTTTGAAAACTGAAACTTGAAGGTCGTGAAATCGAATATATATTCCCACTTGACATTGGGATTAATTCAAATATACTTTATACTAGTACTCCCATAATTCTTGAACCGGGTCTGCTCTACAATGTACTGAGAAGACTCCAACATTTGTCTTGTATGTCTTCCACAGGATGTCAGCAGATCAGCTTCATGAACTTTCCCTCCGACTACAACGCACTACGAGCTAGCCCCTTGCAGGGACAGACAATACCCCTCAGACACTTGGATCTGTCTGACTGCATTTCATTGGACGATAGCGGCCTGCGAATCATTGCCACAAACTGCCCGGGTCTGCTGAACCTCTACCTGAGACGTTGCTATCAGCTGACGGATATCGGTGTACAGTACCTGTCGTCCCATTGCTTCATGATCAAGGAGCTCTCTCTGAGTGACTGTCACCGCGTCACAGACTGCGGAATGAGAGAAGTTGCCAAGCTGGAGTTGCATCTTAGATACCTGAGCGTCGCCAAGTGTGAACTCATCACTGATATGGGCGTGTATGCCATCGCCAAGATGTGTGTGAAACTCAGGTATTTTAACGTTCGAGGGTGCGCGCATATCACAGATAAATCGCTGGAGGTGTTGGCCCGGGGTTGTCCACGACTGAGGTCCTTAGACGTTGGGAAATGCCCAGCTGTTACGGACAGAGGGGTGACAAGCGTGGCTGTAAACTGTTCAGGGCTGCGCAAGCTCAGCTTTAGGGGCTGCGTCAATGTGACAAGCGAGAGTCTTCATATTTTGGCCAGTTACTGCCCGGAACTACAGCAGCTCAACATCCAAGAGTGTGATGACCTCAGCGCGCACGCCTACAGAGTACTCAAAAAGCACTGCAGGAAGTGCATCATTGAGCACACCAACCCAGCTTTCTACTGAAAGTCTGCCCTGTCAGCGTGGCTATATGTTAATATGTATGTGTGCTTGGTTTCAAATGACTCGGCCTTTTTGAATATATAATACTGAACTGGCTCATTGGTTGGTTAAAAATTCATATGACCAATTACAAAAACTGACATAAAGGGATGCCGTGCCAACTAAATACCACTTCTGCCATAAAATGGCATCAGTGGCATTGAAATTGAATCTAAGGCCGTGTCCGAAACGGGCTTCCAGAGCTACGGCTAGGTCTATTGTCTACGCGTCTCCACGCATTTCTAATGGAGTGAAGACGTAGACATAGCTCTAGACAAGAGATTTGGATGCAGCCTAAAAGTTTGAACACGCAGGTGACAATTAGTTTTACGTACAGCTCATCCACACATGTGAACCTTGTAACCTTGGCCGACCCTACATGTACATTGAGGGGACTGTCTCTTTTGTCAGGAAACTCGGAATCACAACAGATTTGTTCTCTTAATTTTGATCATTCAATTACAGCCAATGTTCATAGTTGCCATTCATGTATGTCAGCCACAATGGGGTATGATTGTCAAGTTGAAAAGCGCCCTCTCTTGTTCACTTACACAAAGTTCACCCCCCACACATTGTCATAAAACTCACTAAGCCTTGTACCTCTGCGAAGTGCGTTCATGATTCTACAAAGCATGAAATAGATACCCTTTCTTCAACCGCACAGTGTACTGAAGAAAAGGGGATATTTTGCAGGTAAAATATCATGATGGGCTGCCTAACGTGTTAAGTCTAAAAAGAGTTTTGATGTCACTAAAAATGTACCAAGAAATAGTTGGAATTGACTGCTACAAACCGTACCCTTGTTCACTTCAAAGTAAGGTGACATCCATACAGTGTTTCAAGTTCAAAAGCATCAAAAGCTTTTTTTAATTTCATATTTTCAGTCTTCTCAATAACAGGTTAGATTCTCATGTGCACCCCCCCCAAAAGAGCCAGGCAATAAATGAGTTTTCCTTACGCCGTTTTTCAAAAAGATCAAAAATTGGGATGGGTCAGTTTGTGGTATGACAACAGACTGACATGAAGACGAATTCTTATTTTCTGCTTCTGGTACAAGAGAAGACGGAAACTAAGTAACAAAGGTTTTGTCCATGTACACTGAGGTTACCTTTTATCCTCTGTTGTTGCATATTTGTATATCCAAAACATAGGTGGAATATTTACCCATGTGAATATGCTAAGGGGCGTTCACACACTCTCATGGAAATTAGGAGACGATTCCTGACACGGTTTGAAGGTGGATAGTCAATTTTAGCTTCCAGAGGTATTGGAGGTGGAAAAAACTAGTTTCTGAGATGAACCATACCTCGTACATAAGCATTAAAATTTCAGGAGTAAGGGAAAAGGTGCCATAATGCTTGATGTTTCCACAAGCCTACTTCATCTTGGGGATTGTTCCACTGAAATGTTTCCGAGAGGAACATTGTAGGCCAATATGCTAGCATATTTTTCTTGTGCCCATATCCTCACATACACTCCTGTTTAACAGTAAAACTAGCATCTGGCACGTGATAAACCATGGACCAATGAGATTTCTGCTTTTGATCATGAATATGTATGAAGTATGGTATTCCAGACTACCCATAACCGTAACTGGCCTGAAGTAGTGCCGACTGTGTGTACATGTATAAGATGGAAAGCTTGCGGTAAACACCAAGCAATATCTCTTTTGAGTCTGTGTGGTTCTGATAAGAACCGGAGAGGCTCAACGTTTCGGACAGTGTGCTCTGTCCGTCGTCAGGAGACTGTGTACATGTACATGTTATCTCCCACCTCACATGACCCTTTTTTTAATGCAAGCACAGTGTGGTTTGCTGTTTCTGCCAGGATCTATTCTGCAGATGGTCGTTACATGTACATGTATTACAAAATTTGGAGCTGTCTGTGTATCATTACAGAAAGCACTTAAAGGGTCATCCATTTTGGTCATCATTTTCGCGAGCGTACAAACCGTATGCTAGGGGGAGGGGTGAATTGGTTGCGTTCGTTTTAGAAACGTTAAAAATGACGATTATCATAGACCAGCCAACGATCAACACCCAACTATTGCTTGTGTGCAGAGAGTGCGCAGGACTGAGACATCATTCATACAAGCTTGGGCAATGGCTATTTCTTAACCACTCGACAATTTTGCCTGGTGTCATATATGAAAAAAGTACACCCACAAGTACCAGGCAAAATTCAATAACGTTAAAATCACGGCTACGTGTCAAACAGTCTTCGAGCTTCCCCCCAAGCTCCGCTGCGCCCTGCGTGCAATGAGGTTTGATACCCAGACACATTTGTATTTTACAGTTTATTTATGTACGCATTTTCCCTTGTGTGGAAAGGTGCCCCTTCAAATGTACAGCATGCTTAATACACGCAAGTTTGTACATGTACGTAAGATGCAAAAAATCATTGTAACCGCATAGCTGTGTACTTTTTACCACTTTTGTGAAGAGGAAAAGATCAATTCAAAGGTACATTTGCTGACTGCTATTTTTGGCTACAAAAAAATTGACACTTTTATTTCAAGAAAAAAGTACCTGTCCATCGGGCAATTCGTCCTTAATTTTTTGCTAGCCCGAACTCAAAGAAGAAATTTGCCCAGGCAATTGGACAACCACTATATGTCGAGGCCTGTACTGGACAATGTTATTCCTCCTGCCACTATCTCTGGTCGTCTGCTGCACATTAACAGCCGTACATCCTGAGTTAGAATGGGTCCTCTGGCACCTCAGAGAAATCAGCATTTTATTTTGTACTCTCTTAGAGGGGGAGGGGACAGGAAAAAGAGTACGCTTGTGAAAATGACGACAAAAATAGATGACCCCAAACACGGCTATTTGGAACAAGAACCTTTCC